GATAAAGTTTTACCTCTCCTAAAAGAACTCACCAGGAAATAAACTTAGAAAATTAGTTTTGGTAGTGACTTAATCTGGTCATTAAAGGCTGACTCACGTAGGCTCAGATTTTTACTGAAGATATGCATTATACACAGCATTTGGCAGGGACAGTGTGATGACAGCATCCATGGAAAACAGGCTCTGGCCAGGTACCCAAGTCTAAAAGAAATACCTGGCACATGCTAGTTGTCAAATAAATGCAGATAGCTGCATCAAAGTTAAAACTATTCAAAGTTTCAGTGCACAAATCAGTGATGACACTTTGGAAATATTTACGAGTGGTTAGATTATCACTTTTAAGGGCAATGGCAGTTCTCACAATAATTGGCTGTTGAAGGGATGCTTCAAAAAGCAAGGCCGGTGAGGTTGTAGACCACAGAAAAGGTTGTTGCTTCACACTCTCTTATCTGAGTACAGTCACTTGGTGGAGTTGTCTCCATGAGGATCACCATGAATGCATTCTTTCCTCCCTTCAAGAGGAGTGCATTCCTTCCCTCCTTTTGAATCTGGGCTGCTCTTAGTGACGTGCCCAATTAATTAAATGTAAGGAAATGGCATTCTAGGACTTCTGAGCCTAAGTCATAAGAAGACTTGCAGCTTCTTCCTGAGCCCTCTAAATACTGAGGACCCTCCCTTTAGGAGAAGGCAGCTTCTGTGTAAGTTTACCTACCCGGAAACCACCAGGGAGAGAACAGTGCCAAGCCGATCCATAGCTCTTTCCACCACCAGAGCAGATAGCAGCTCTGGAGTAAAGAAACTGCCTCAGACATTACAACTCTAGTACATGATACAGGAAAGAACTGGGTCCCTATATATTTCACCTCATTGGGACCACCATGGGATTCTTCAGCCATTCCATCCACTCCCACTGAGGCACAGATATCTTAAAGCAGAGAAATGTCATGCCTTATCTGATCTACAAAATAATCAACACAATAAATGCTGTGCTGCATCACCAAGTTTCGGAGTTCATTATATATTATTAATAAGTTACCAGAATATATGATGTACCTCCCCCTCAGCAGCTTGATGCTTCAACTATTACTCATCTCTCAGTCCATAACTTAGTGTCTGATACATGAGGCATCAGTGTGATTGGCTGAATGAACAACTAAATAAATGTGCAAGTGTCTTCATGGATGTTTGCAAGGCTCAAGTATAATAAAGCTTCCTTAAATATAATTATTTTCATTTCTCAAATATAAAAGCTTTAAACCACTGGGATTTCCCAGGATGCAGAGGACTGCTAAGCTCAGGAGAGCGCTCTGCATTGTACACAAATGCCCGGACCACAGGTCATGCTACTTAACCAAAAGAAATACAGTGACTCTCTCCTAAACAGCATCATCACAGGATAGAAACAATAGCAAATGTTTACACGGAACCTGCTCTGTGCCTGGCACTTTTCTCATCCCTTTACAAAGATGAACTCATTTAACATCCACTAGCTTACTTCCATTTTACATATGTGAAAAAAAGACAACATAAAAGCCAAATATCTTTCACATGATCATACAGCCAGGAGGTGATGGCTTACATCCAGAGAGCTGGCCTGGCAGCCATGATGCTTTTTTGTAATAATATTGTCCTGCCTTTCTGGGAACAATCATGCTGATACATGTGGCCCCAGAGTTATGGCATTTGGGAGGAAGTGATAATTTTTACCAAGAGGAGAAATAGAGGGTTGGTAAATAGAGAAAAATGCTATTTTCTGTGTCCTTAGTGAAGACATGTAACTTTTTGTGTCCTTTATGAAATATTTACTCATTTGCTTTGGCTTCAGAGAAACAATAAAATTTCATTTTTCTTTGGAGAATTAGAGATTCCACGAAAAATTATTCTACTAAATCATGGTACTAACAGTTTTTTATTTATATAAGTAAAAATGTGTGTGCTGTCTGAAGAAGCTAATAGAGAGCATGTATGGGGGTCACACAAAGGGTTCCTCTCCTCAAAAGCCATTAATTAACCTAAAATTAGCTCTTAGAGTCTCAATTTTGAACGCATTTCTAATTTTCACATCTAGGAACAAAAATATGATATTGCAGATAATTAAATTTATTCAGAGAATAATATTTCTATGTGTGGGTTGTATTACCAGCATTTGAATAGAATACTAATTGCCAACTGGGGGTGGGGAGGGTGCTAGTTATCCTGAGCTCCGCATAAACACTGACCTATTTTAAATTACTCTGTGACTCATCCAAAAATCTCCACGTTATAAATACAGTATTTAAATGGAGACAAAACAGCCGCAGTACAGAGATTTTCCTCACTTAAGTGACTATACTTCCTATCACAAAACCATCTAATTTGAAGTGTACCAAAAATAACACTGCTACACATATGGAGCTACAAATTAAGTTTCCATAAATAGGACTGCTTTGTCAAGGACCCGATTCAAAAACTGAAATTTCACATAATACTATGATCATGTTTTTATGTCAGATTTCCAATCACAAGTCTAGTACCATAAAAAAAATTTTAAATGAGCTCATCTCAAACTTTGCTTGTGATTAAATATCATGATCCAAATTTTTAAATCTCTCCAATGTTTTAAACAAAATAGTGGGAAGAATAAGAAAAAGAATAATATCTGGAAATTAGGTTCCCCAATCGACTATAAAAAAAAAAAGAATTAGAAGTAAATAGAATCTTCACACTACTAAATGCTGTTTGCCATTGCTCTCTTTGTTCCATCTACAATCATCTTTGTTCCAACAATGATAGGGATCTCACACTATGGAAAGACCAACCTACTTCTCATAGTCTATAGTTTTTCCTGCTAAATGATTCAGCCAAAGCCACAACCATGGTTACTTGTGAAACTGGGCTGAAAAGTATGGATAATTAGTGTCGTTAACATCTGTTAACCTGTGAAATCATGACTGAATTGCACATATTCCTTGATTTTTATAAAGCAGCAGACTGATTGTAAGTGACAGACAGATCCCTCAAACAGTTAATGACCTCAGGGAACTTGGATTTCATTACAGAGGGTTGGCATGGAAGACAAATTTTGAGATGTTATAAAAATTAAACATCAGTAGGCGAATGATTAAACCCCAGCAGAGTTTTCCTTGAACCCACTAGATTGTCTGTCGCAAGTTTCTCTACTTCATAACCATGAACAGTCACAGCAGAACTGATGGTACACATCTTTCTTCTCCACTGGCTTGTGACTCAGTGATGGCTGGGAATGTGTGCTTCTCATCTATCCCTGTATCCTTGGCACATGCCACTCTTTCTGGCACTAAAATGTTCACTGTGCGTCTCTTGAATAAGTGAAAAAATGAATGGGTTCAGGCTGGCCCATGGCAAAAGGACCCAGAGTCATCCAGAATAACTTAGAGAATCTTAAGATTTGATTGTAATTGTATATATCCTCGATAACAAATCTTCCTGGAGAAAAAGAGGAAGAGTAACCCAGTCCTCCATCCAACTGAGAGACCTTTAGGATTCGTGGCATAACAACATCATGAGGGATGCCATCCTTTTCCAAATAAAGCTGACATAATATCCAACCTAATGGGTTTGGGTGAACCCCACACAACCCAGGGCACAGAAGGCATCTAATATGAAGACATTCTCAAATCTCCCATCTTTCTTTCTTATATGCAACAAAATCTTGCTTTCTTGTTGAAATCTCACTGTTGTCTGCTGCCGTAGCCACAGTAATGAAGAGGCAGTGGTATGGTGTACCTAGGGCAAAGAAAGGCAGCATGGTGCCCTGGAAGGATCCTTGGACAAAAGCTCAGTAGAACTAGGTTTGGATATTGACTATGCTATGTATTTTCTTTATGCTCCTAAGAATTTGGCTTTTCTTGGCTTAAATGCCCTTCCTGTGAAATTGGACAAAATCTTCTGTAAACATCAAATGAAATAATAAATATCAATTTATCTAGGAGTTACTGATATTTCCATAATGAAAACAATATATAAATTGTAAAATAGTAGGCAAGTTATGGTAATCTTCCCCCTGGTCCTTGAGAGCAGTTTTAGCTTAATTTTGAGCAGGATCTATAAAATAAATTCAGTTTTCATTGCCTGCCAATGGCTGCTAGGTGCCCTTTCTTACCAGGCTACTGAGAGGAATTGAAAATGAGTTGTAAGTGATCCATATTCAAGACATAATTGTGACTGTTGGATACAAAGCATCTTGCCTGCTTTTATTCACCCTTCTATAGAATGAAAACTGCCTTTTAATAAATTAGCCAGTATCATTCCTTCTGAAGGCTCAGATTTTTGTTTGCTGTACTAGAGCAAAACCTTGACATAAATAGTGATAATCTGAATCATAAGCCAGATAGGCAATCACCTATCTACATGGAATTTCAGAGGAAACAGAACTACTCTTGCATATTGATACTCAAAAGTCCATTGATACCTTTTTTCTCAGAAATAATTACAATTTACAGAATAATTCTTACCAAGATGAAAAGGATTAAGGGCATTTTTTAAAAACAACTTAAGGGAGAGGGTATTAAATTGCAAAGGAAAAGAGAAAGAAAAGAACTAAGCAATCTTCATATTTCATTACATTTGGAGATATTTAAATTGATTGTTTTTAAGGGTATTTTTCAAACTATCACAGTTGAAAATCGCTATTGTGAGAAAAACACAGGAAGAAGCAACTCTTATCTAAGATAAATTACTGCTTTTTGTGTTCTATAATATTTCTATTGCACAGTAGGGTGGCTAAAGTACAAAATACAGCATTTCAGTATTTCAAAAATAGCTAGAAGAGAACATTTTGAACATTATCACCACAAATAAATGGCAATGTATGAGGTCAAACACCTTTGATTATTTCCCAATAGGTCGCGTATTGAAACACCATGCTTTGCCCCTTTATCTATGTGCAGTTACTTGTGACAAAAGTAAACTGGAAATGCAGAAAAGAAATGTGTACTAAACTGGAGCTGCGTTGACCTGTTTGACCTTGGTTTTTATTGCAGACTTATAAACGAATCGCTGAGGGACCAGCTATTGGTAACTATACAGAAGACCTTCACGTATACCCGAACCCAAGCCCAGCATCTGTTCATCATCCTGATGGAGTGCATGAAGAAGAAGGAGTTGGTATGTTATCCCCCTGGGTACCGGGCCCTCTTCACACCCCCATCTGTTGACTTGAATCATGCACCAGTCTCTTTTCCTGGGAAGTGTATAAACCTCCTCAGGCTTCATTGGTGCCGGTAGTTTCCTCTCCTAAATAGCTATGACACAGCTTTCTCTGCTTTGGACTTAATGCAGTTCTGTGAAGCAGGGTTCTAGCATCATTTCCTCATGGAGCTCCTCTAAATATTTCTGGCTGCCTCGACCAAATGAGAGGAGAGGGAAAAAAAAATCAGTCTCCTGCTGGGAAATGCATTTTAGTAGATCCTCTCAAGTTTGGGGGTTCACTTTTCTTGTGAATAGTGAATCACTGATGCTCTTTGCATCGATAATCTCCGGCAATGCACATACAGGGTAATATGTTCATCTGTACAGTTGGAAAACAAACATATCTGGGAAATTACATAAACATGTGCACAGGTTTTGAAGTGCCTCTTATTGATTACTAAAGCATTTCTTACATCAGAGAAATTGTCTTGCAAATGTGGTGTCATAGGGACCCTCTGCTAGGGTGAACAGAAATAACAGGAAGTAACATTTAATAAGCACTTGCTATATACCAGGCAGGCAGCTAAATTTTTACATGTATTAAAAGTGATCTTGCAGCTACTCAGATGACAGAGGTGCAGTTAGTTAGCACCATCAACCTCCATATGACTAGTCAACAGAGAATGAGGACACAAAATCAGTGGTATCTAAATTTCTGTGGGAGGTATTTTTACCCAAAAATTGTCTTTTGGAAACCAATGTACTGAAAGGCCCGTTCTGGGTAGATTCCCAGCGGGCCTCGGCACGCAGAAACTGTTTCCAACTAGTGAGCCCAACGAGTGACATAATTGGCAAACTCCTAAGATTTTTCAAAAAGAGTTGATTAGATTAAGCAAGATAGGGCCCAGAAAGCATCCACACACACAGCCGTTCTGAGAAGCCTTCCAGCAGCTTTCAGGTTTGGAATGCCAGGAAAGCAGAATGGGTCACCGCCAATCCCTCAGTATCTACACAGGCAAGTAGTCAGCCTGGCCACCACGCACAGTGAGGCCAGTGAGCAGTTGGGCTGCAGTCATGAACGCCACGCCACCCCCGACAGGACCGCCCATGGGCCGTTCCTACCAGCTCCAACGTGTTGAGCTCAATGTTTCAACTCTCTTCCTCCAGTGAGTTGCCTAAACTTGAATGGATTTCTCTCCTGAGGTCTGAGCATTTTTCCAATGCTGAGGCCAAAGCTAACAGTGAACATTTACTAGAATTATACATTTTGGCAGTCCCACCAGCCCCGACTGGAGACGACACCATCCTGGAGGAAAGGACTGGACAGGCACAGCCGTGCAGACTGCGTGGTAGTACGTGCAGCCCCCAGTAGCCACGGCGGCTGAAAGCAGCAGTGCAGCTCCTACCTAGCTCACCACTTTCCACACCTGTGCTGATGACGCTCAACACCCTGTCCTCCCTGTCAGCTGTTGGGCCTTTAGGGGTCCCGTGCTTCCATCTTCTTATTCTCCCTTGGAATCATCTTGCCTCAAAGCTGATGCTGCTCCCAAATCCAAGGCTTTACAATACACTCCTCCCTCTGAATACGACTGTCCCACTGCTCCCCTCCCATGGCTTCATTTGCACTAAATCTGCAAATGGATGCTTCTGCATAAAATAACCCCAGATCCAACGCCTAAGCCGTCCATGTGGGAGTATGTTGTGCTGTGCCTTGGGAGTCCACGCTATGGTATGTGTGTGTGTGTTCTTCCTCACCTGGGTCTGCGTGCCCAGGGCTTCTCTGTACCACTCCTGACCTGAGCACTTTGGTTCTAATTCTTCTAGAAAGCTGGGCAATCCTTGTATTTGTTCTCAGTTGACAGCCACTCCTGTTCCCTACAGTTGTAAAGCCTTCTATATTCTTTCTAAAATTTAAATCACACCTGGGCCAGGGATACAGTTCAGTGGTTCCATTACCTGCCTCACAAGCGCACAGTCACGAGTTCCATCCCTGGTACCAAAACACAAAGAACAAAACTTAAATCACACCTTTTTCCTCTTATTCCAGTTATATATTTTAAATGCTAACCCAGTATTAAGTTTCTTCCATTTTAGGACTATTTCTTCATGATGTTTGTCATTTCCTTTGATAAACAGAAATTCTCAAACTTAATGTAGTTAAATTTGTCAGACTTTTTTGCACTACATATTTTACCTCTTATTAACACCTATTCAAATATTACAAAGAAAGCCGGGTGTGGTGGCGTATGCCTGTAATCCCAGCACTCGGGAGGCTGAGCCAGGAGGATCGCTGCGAGTTTGAGGCCAGCCTGGGCTACATAGTGAGTTCCAGGTCAGACTCAACTACATAGTGAGACCCTGTCTCAAAAAAACAAAAAACCAAAACAAAACAAATATTACAAAGATATATTTTCCTACAGAAATGTATCTAGCTTAAACTTTCACATGAAATCTACAACCCATCTAGAATTGACTTTTCGCATATGTGAGGTAGAAGTCCATACTGATAACTAACTGGTCTGCGTACACCAGGGCCATCATAAACCAAGATTCTGTATACACATCTTTCACTTTCCTTATCAGTCTAGTGTTCTAAGCCCTGATATGGTGGGGCAAATCACTCTCCTTGTTATTTTTCTCCAGCCTGCCAGCTATTTTAGCCCTTTGTTCATACATAAATTTTAAGGTCAGCTTGTCAAATTGCACACTCATACAATTAGGATTTACAAGCGGAAATGAATTGAACTTAAAAATCCATTTCCTTCATGCTCCACACAAGATCAGGGGCCATAAGATGAAGCATCCTCCAACTTTCTTCTCCATTCCAGTATGAGGTAATCTTGATCGATGTGGTTCGTTCCTTCTATCTGGTACCAGAGGAAATGGTAACCTCCTCCCCTTCTAAGATTCTCCAGCATGGCTACTCACATACTTCCTGTGTGAACTTGCCCTAAAACTATACATTTTTGAGCATTAACCCTCTTCAGACTCCTGCACTGGGTTCAAACTTTACCGTCCACCTTCCCGAAACGTCATGACACTGTGCTATTCTGCTCGCCCTTCAGGTCCTGTTCCTTTCTTTGCCCTTCTATAAATGCAGACTGAAGCTTTCTTCTCGTTTCATTTTTCCTTTTTTGTGTCACAGCTTTAAAGAATTGAAAGCCTTCTGCCGTAAGAGAAAATACCTCTCCTTGAAATTCTGTCGTTCTTCCTTTATAGATTTAACTATTTTATACTGTTATTTTTCTTTATTCAGTAAACTTGCTTATTCTTGACAATGCCTGTCTTGTCTTTCAGTTCATCTGATATTAATATACTAACCTCAGCTTAAGTTCATACTTCTTGAGCCTTGATTTTATTTCATTTCCAATTTTCCTATACCTTAGGTGCTAGGTGATCTTCTAGAAAAATATATATAGCTTTTGTTTTATACCATATTAGTTCCTTTTTAATAATCTTAATCCATTTGCATGTATTCTGTGCTATTTGCCCTGAGTAACTTTTTAAAATAATTTATTTTAAGAATAAACCCATTTAAATATTTTCTATAGCATCCTTTTTTTCTTGATAATATATCCTCCTATTGGCTTGGACAATGATCTCTTTGGAAATTATTCACAGAACTGTATCTCTGACCCATCTCCACCACCAGAATTGGAACACGTAGCTGGGTATCTTGCTTAGTTTTCCCATTGTTCCTTTAAGATTTTCATGTCCAGAAACAAATCAATCTCCCCATTATCCTGAATGTCTCCCAGCCCCACAGCTCCATGCTGCTGCCCCTTCTGATTCATTTCTTCAGTTTTGAGAACACAGGTCCTTTCCTTTTCCTTACTGTACTGGCACCTCAGCCAGCCATTGCCAAACTATCTTGATTTTCTTTTGGAAGTGTCATTTGTATCTGCCTCCTTAACCTTGCTTCCGGTATCCTCCATTTTTCTTTTCCTTCACTGGGGCCATTGTGATTGACTGCTACTTGATTTCAGGAAGGGAAACTTTTTTCTCCTCCACAATTTCTATATACCAGTCCAGGCTTGATCTTTGGAGACCACAGTGGGAATTTTTTGTCACTGCCTTGCTCAGATACCTTCTAGGATTTCCCCCTGGTACTAATGTTCAACTTATTTAATGCACCATTCAAGGTCCTTCATAATCTGAATGCAATCTGGAATTTCATTCCCACACTTTTTATTACTTTCTTTTACCATTTTTGTTCACCAAACAATTTAGGCCTTCTAAATTCCCAGTTTCCTTATCTGAAAAATCATTCTATTCAAATCCAACTGCAAGCATCCAACTGTGGCATCTCAGAATTGTTTTTACTGTGATTTTCAACAGATAAGGACATTTATAATTCTGCAGTTGCCTGGAAGCCTAGGTCTAAATCGATCACTGGTGGAAGTTGTCATGAAGCATTGCTTACAGAGGATCCCCGACACTTACTGCTGTGTTTGTGGAACTTCTACTTGGATTGTTACAATAATCTGGATTAAGTAGTAATTATTTTAAATGAGATACCTAGCAATAACTGGCAAAGAAAAAAAAAGATTCTAATACTCATTGATTCTATATTTGGAGCAAGTAGATTGTGTTTTTCCATCCTTCTTATATAAATGAAATATTCGTATGCCATGTTTTCCCCTGTAAAGGTAAAATAGGAGCCCATATTTAATTATGTTGAAAGATGAAATTTAAAACACCAACAATCTTGTACTCATTTTTTGTCTCCAAAATGATTTGTTAGCATTACTTGATTAGAAAATACAGGGAAAAAATACTGAGCTTTAATTCATTTGAACACAGAATGCAGAGCCCTTTGCAGTTTTTCTAGCTAATAGTATGGGTTTTGTTCAATTATAACAATCCTAATAACTACTCTGTTACTAACCCTGACTTATAGTTTCCAAAATAAGATAGTTATCCCATGGCTTATTGTGGCTTTATGTTATATATGGGGAATATGGTAGAATGTATTC